CACTCCTTCAGTTGTAACACAGCGTCAAGGTTGCAGTTCCGGAGGCTGACCAATGGGGGGGCAAGAATCAGACTGCGCCCCTACAAAGTCGGCCACGAGCCCCGCCCGCGTCTTGTGGAAGGGGTGGGGTTTGTCCGGCGTGCGCGTGCGCACCTAAGGAAGGGGGGGCTGGGCCTTGCCCAGTCACGGGGTTCTTTGTTGACACTTCCTGGTTGGGCCCACCTCGATTCTGTTGCGGGAGCCGGCCTGGGGAAGGACGGTCGTAGCCATGGCGTACCCAGGCCTTATGGTGCCCATCATTGTGATGAGCGTGTTCTGGGGGGTCGTCGGCTTCTTTGTCCCCTGCTTTATCCCTAAAGGTCCCAATCGAGGGTAAGTGTCCGGGGGGCGAGGGCGAGGGCGAGGTGTGCCGGCCGAGGCCCCAGGCTTCCGCGTGGAGCCTGTGTCAGTCAATTAACCGTCAATCAGCATCCGTCTGTTAAGCGCCTACCGTGTTCCAGGCACCTCCTCTGGAGCTGGGAAACCCCGGAGCGCCTCGCGGAGCCTGGGCGGGAGCCGGGGACGGAAGGCCTGTGGGGGCCGGCGGTGGTCACGAACAGGGCCGAGGGTCGCGGTTGACCGAGGAGCCCTCTGGCCACCCTTCCCCCGCCTTCCATTGCAAACCCGGGCCCGGGATGAGGGTTAGCTTCTCCTCCGGGGTGTTTCGGGGTGGGGGGAGCGCCTCAGCCCGAAACGGGAAAAAGGATTGTCGGACCCGACACCACCCGAACGTGGGCTGGTTTGCGTGAACCTTGGAGGGGGCTTTTAAAAAATGGCAAGAAATCCGAAACGCCGTCTCCTTTTTTCCCCTCCCAGTTACTGAATGGGTGACTTGTCTAAGGTGAGGTTATTGGAACTCTTGGCTAATCGCCTGGCTGTCCCCCAGGTGCTTCGAGGCCCTGCCCTACGAGGGGTGGCAGTCATTTGTTCGTGGGGTCTTAGGATTGAGCCAGTCCAACTTACTTGCTTTACAAATGACGAAACCGAGACCTGAACTGGTTAAGTGACTTTTGTCTACTAAGTATCTACGTGCAATACTAAGTGTCTGAGGGTCAGATTGGAATCCAGGTCTTCCAGACTGAAAGCCCAGTGTTGAATGATATGAAGTTAGATCAGTGGCTTCAAGGTGTTCTTTTGAAATCCTCCAGTGTCCTTTAACTATTGAAGGGTAATGTTCCTTTTTCAAAACGTGGCCTTTACTTGTGATTAGTTAAGGCACTAGGTAAAGTTAGTTTTAGAGCTGGAAAGGGCTTTCTATTCAGCCTTTCTTAATTGGCCCAGCTACCTGTGCCCTGCCTCCCAAAATCACCTTGTGTTTATGTTGAATAATAATTGTCATCTTCATAACTAATATTTACATAGTGTTTACCATGTGCCAGGCACTGTGCTAAGTACTTTATTATCTCATTTGATCCTCACAACAACCCAGATGAGGTAGGTGTTTTATTATTATCCCTATTTTACAGATGAGGAAACTGAGGCCTAGATAAAAGGAAGCCACATAACTCAAGATTACACATTTTAGGAAGTTGGTTGCAGCCCTAGGTTGAATCCCAGGGCCCTTGCATTCCCAGTGCAGATTTCTTTCTGTTATACCCACTTCTGTACTCCCAGTGCAGATTTTTTTCATTATACCAGAATTTTTTATAGTTGATCTTTGATTTTTAAAGCCTACTCATTCACTTGCTGTCTAGATCCCCTTTGCTCTTAGTCACTTCTTGTAATCTCAGGGTCATGTGATTTGTAATTTAAGACTATAACTCACCCTTTGTCTGAAGTATCACTTAGTACTTCGCTTAGTACTTGATATCTTGAAAATATTCATTTGGTCCAAGGCTATAGTGAAAGTTAATAGGTACTGAATAAACATTTGTTAAATGAATTATTCTTTTACATTCTCTCCCCCTCCCCCCCAGTTCTTGAGTACAGGAAATGTTTTTCATTGTCTTTTTACCCGCAATGTCTTGCACATGATGGGTAGGTGCTTAATAAATGCTCATTGGATTGCATTAAGTTTACTACTGAAAAGTTTTAAAAACCTAAAAAATTTACTTTCTGAACAGTTCTTACCGCTTGGGATAAATATGTTATCTATTTATGAGTATTTTGTTTAAAACATATATCTTAAACAAAATTTTGTAAAGTAAATGATCTGATAGCATTTGAAAATGTGAAATTTCTTTTGCAATTATATGGATATATTTGGAGTTTGTAATATTAGGGTTGGGTGTAATGCAGCAATTAATAATTTATCATACAAGAACTCTAGAGTTTTTTCTTACCACATTTTCTAAAATTTAGATTCTTATCCCTGAATTAGTGCTGTTCTGATGATTCATGATTTACTACCTCTTAGTGCCCTACATCAGAGATACCAAAACATGCACACCCGATGAGGACAACACTTTGGATTGCAGCCAGAACCAGATTAAAATGTAATTGGGAAATATTTAACAAAATAAATAAAAATACAATAAAATGAATTATTCCCCCCACCAGTTCTTAAGTGTGGGAACTGTTTTTATTTTGTCTATATACACAAATTAATATTAGGGAATATTAATATGTAGTTTTCTAAGTCAGTATGTGGTCCACAGGAATCTCTATGTATGATGTTGTGACCCCTGTTTCTGTTTGAGTTTGACACCACTGCTTTACATTTTTCCATTCTTCATAGCCTTTCTTCCTCTAACTTTCCTAATGAAACAAGTATTTATGATTATTGATTATTTGTCCACATCCTACAGATCAACTCCTTAGTACTGTGCCATGCATGTAGTTGGTGCTTAGTAAATATTTATTGATTTGAACAGGCTCCCAATTTCTTGAGCCTTATGACTTGAGGCCATTGACCACCATAGTTGATTACCAAGGACAAAAGAACATTGGCCTCTTAGTTTTCCAGCTGTAGCTGCATGAAGTTATTTGACCAGTACTTAGTGTTATATTCTACAGATCCAAATTAGATTCTCCATGCTAATCTTCATTCTGTTTGTATGTAATAGTTATATATAGTAGTTGTTGAGGCAAATGGAATTTCTACACTTTATAATGTAAGGAACGCAGGTACCATAGCCAGCTGATTTTTAAGTTTCAATTTCTCCAATTCTAATATGAGAATATTAATGTAAGAGTGCCTTCTCTAGCTAATAAATGTGTCCCTTAAAAATATCTTCAAACCAAGTTTTGTAAATTGACTTAATAAATCTACTAATTAACTCATTCTTTAAAGGAACCCTGTGGATAATCTGGGCAATCCTTTTGTAGTATAAACTTTCTTTTTTTTTTTTAATTAAATTTGAATTTTTTGTATCTCAACCTCAGAAAAGGGTTGTATTTGGAAGGTTCATGGAAAAGTCTTTTGTTTGAAACTTGAATTTTTATAGAAACAATGTTATAAATATTGGTTGTTAAGTCCTGAGGCAAACCAACAAAAGCCTGTTTAAACCACATTGTAGCTGAACTATATTACTAGTTTGGGAGCAGGAAGCCATGCTGTGTGTGAAATGGGAAGAAGAAAGTCTTTTTCTTTCTTGAAATCAAGGCTGTCCCTTGGCAAAATTTTGAAATATAGTTTATCTTTGCCATCTTATGTCCTCTTCCATGTTAATAGTCCTAGGCCTTTCCAAACACAGAAAATAGCACCTTGCCTTTATTATCTCTTCCCTGTCCTACCCCACAATGCTTGATTTACAGTTTACTCCAGTTACCTTTTAGAGAGAGCACAGGCTGACTGAACACATTCACTTAATAAAGAGTAGTAGCTATAGTGACTGTCGTTTTCTATAGCATTCTTAGATGTGTCAGGTGTTTTATATTCATTATCATATTTTATCTCCAGAACAGCATTATAATGTGGATATTACAGTTGTTAGTATCCACATTTTACAGATGAGGAAACTGAGGTTTAGAGAGGTTAAGTAACTTGTTTATGTTCTCATAATAAATAAATGCCGAAGACAGGATTTGAACCCTTGCCTCATCTGACTTAAAAGCCTAGCATTCTTTGCAATATGCTACTCTGCCACTGCATGAAGGGTCTCTTCTATGTAAGATATAGGAATGAGATAGAAAAATGTATATGACATAGTGCCAGCCCTTCTCAACTAAGGATAGTTGAGACGTTGAGAAGACAAGAGGAGGGCATACCTCCCCCCTCCAAATTTTTGTAAACTGTCTATTCACACTCTGGGGGAATAATCATTGTGAGAAATTTTACAGTTTTTAGATATTATGTGCTTCTCACATATAACTTATTTTCATTCATTCAACTAGTATTTGAGTATTTGCGCTACTAATCAGAGAAAGGTTTACAAATGACATGTAAGTCTAGGATCCTTGTCCTCCAGGGACCAGAGGGACAGTATCTCTCTTCAGAAGATTGGGTTCAAATCTGTACTTTTACGCCCAACACCTGTTTGTCTCTGGAGCCATCACTTCTCTAAGTTTCAGTTTCTTAACACCAATCAATCAGGAATTATTAATACTTACATAACTTGCCTCACAGAATAGTAGGGAGATACTTTGTAAGCGTTATTAAGAGACTATTTGTATAAATGAGTGTTGTGGTTACATTATAGCAATATAGTTGGGGAGATGGCAAATGCCTACAGATATACACACGTTCATAAAACGGTTAAGTAACGGATCCAGGAGGAGATAAAGTGTCAAAGTTAGTGATACAGATAATTTTCAAAAGAGTTGTGTGCCACAATAGTCAGAAATGATCTTTTGGAAAAGATAGGATTTGAACTGTACCCTGAAGGATGGTGAGATTTAAATAGAGGAAGGATTGATGAAAGGGTACTTTACGTGATGTGAAAGCATGAAGAAAAATTTGGAGTTAGGAATGAACATATTGAATGGGAGTGTGTGGGGCAGTGAGGCTGGGAAGAGTTGTTTTGGGGGAGTAGTGGGAGATTAAGTAGAATAAAGACCAGATGATAGATTTATATCCTAGGGTAAGGGGTTTATATTTTATACTCTGGGCAGTGAAAAGCCACTGAAGGTTTCCACACAGAGGATTAACAAAATGAAAGGAGTTTTAGAAAGATTAATCTTCTCAATAGAGAAGTGGTCAAAGGAAATGAACAAATAGTTTTCAGTGGAAGAATTGCAAACTATCAACCAAGGCAAACTAACAAGCATTTATTAAGTGCCTACTATGTACTAGGCATTGTGCTAAGCACTTCAGATACAAAGAAGAGAAATACAGATGAAAGCAGCTGAGATTTCACTTCATTACTTCCAAATTGGCAAAGATGATTTTAGAAAAAATAGAAGTAGTGCTGAAGATAAGACAAATGTATCATTCATTGATATTGTTTTAAATGGATTTATTCTAAGGCTGTATGTATAATTTGGAATTACGTGAGAAAAGTTACTGAATTACTCATATATATCCTTTAATCCAGTAATCCCACTATTGGGCATATATCCCAGAAAGTCACAGACAGAAAGATATCATATATGTGAGAATATCAGAGGTAGCACTTTTTATGATAGCAAAAAGCAAGAAACAAAGTGGCTGCCCATTAATTGAGGATGGCTGGAAAATTTGTGGCATGTAAAATTAGAGGCATAGATCTTGAGTAGGAAAGAGATTTCAGAAGCTATCTAGTCCAGCCCTCTCAATTTACAATGAGCAAGCTGAAGTTCCAGAGTGGTTAAATGACTTACCTAAGGTCATTGGGTAGTAAGCATTATAGACAGGATTTGAACCTAGGTTCTCTAATTCCACTAAACTATAAGAAAAAACAGGTACAATTTTTCACAGAAATATGGGAACTTATATTAATTGATTCAAAGTAATATGCATAGAACCAAGAGAATAATAAATACAGTACATTTAGTAATATAAATGAGAACAGTACCAAAAGGCAGCCATCTTCTGGTGACATGTAATGATCAATATGGAGAATGGGTGATGAAACACATCTGGGAAGTGGGGAAATAGAGATATGGAACGTAGTTTTATGGTTTCTGCTATGGGCTCTGGTGGTTTCTCTTAACGGTTTTTCTTTGTTTCAAGGAGAAAGATTATATTGGGAAATGACCAGTATGTGAGCTCAGTAAAAGTTAAAAAGAAAAAGTTAGTAGTGGCAGTATATAAAAGGAATTGGAGGGATTGAAGGCTTAGAAGTTGGAAAGGCTTATGTTAGTAATAATAATAGCTATATCTGATCCTCACTACAACCCTAGGAGGTAGCATGCTATTATGATCCTCATTCTATAGATGAGACAACAGAAGTTTAATGAGTTGCCCAGGATCACACAGCTCATAAGTATCTAAGGCAAGATTTAAACCCAGATTCTCTTGACTCCAGCCCCAGCTCTATCCATTGTGCCACCTCATTGCCCCAGTAGTTTATGTCTGAGGCAATGAGGGCTGACTGAATTGTAGTGGTGATAGAGTAGCAGCACTGGGATTGAAAGACATTTCATAGGAACAATCAACAGAATTTGGTTCCTAAATTTCAGAAGTGAAGGAAAAAGGGAAAATGACTGAAAATATTGGTGACGTAGAGGCAGCATGTAACAATGGAAGGAGCCTTGACTTTAGAGGCAAAGGACATGAGCTTTCCTTATTACTGCTTGTATGATCTTAGACAAGTCAATTTGGTCCTCACTTTCCTTATTTATAAAAATGAAGGGGGTGGTGGTAGACTACTTTTAAGGTCCCTTCTAGCCCTAAATCTGTGATTATGTAATATTCTGAAATGGGAAGGGGGATAGGGCAAGAGAATGATATAGAGGATTAATTTAGTTTTAGATATTATGTTTAAGGATATCTAAGTATAGATAAATAAAGGAGAATGGAACATAGGCAAGAAGGTTTGACTTTAAGAGTACAGGTTTTTTTTATTTTTTTTTTTAACCTTTCTGTTCTAACTGTTGACAATTCTTGTCATTTTTTTTTTCATGCAAATGGAAATAGTTTAATTTTCAGTTAGTTAATTCACTTTATTATAACCATTTGACTCATCTATTTAGATTCACCAGTCAGGAGGGCATCAGAGATGAACACTGGTTAATACAGTGTCTCAGAGTCTTTGTGTAGTTTAAAGCTTTAATAACTTAAAACTTTAGTAGGTTAAAACTGTACTAAGATTTTGAGGACACCCTGTATATCTTTCTACTAATACTTAAATACTTAAGTATCTACTGTCTTGATCAGCCCTGTAGCATACTGCAGTGTATTAAGTACATACACAGACACTGCTGCATGGTCCTGTGGCTTAGTTCCTGACAATTCAGAAATGGCCAAAAACAATGCAGTAGAAGTGCTACAGTTCAGTCTAGCAGTTGTCTATCATGTAACTGACTTTATTTCTTTCTCTTTTAGTGTTATCATCACCATGCTGATAACCTGTGCTGTTTGCTGCTATCTGTTGTAAGTATGCACATGTATTGCTCTCAGATATTTGTGATGTATGTAATTCAGAAGCAAACCTATGGCCATTAAGACTAAATTGAAAATCTATATTATGCTGTTTTCTTGTGGACATTTTTTCCCCCCACACGTAACATCTAGAATCATCTGCTAGAAAATGCCAGAATATCATGTTTTCTACCTCAAAATGTGGGAGAGGGAGCAGCTAGGTGGTGCAGTAGATACAGCACCAGCCCTGAATTCAGGAGGACCTGAGTTCAAATCCGGCCTCAGATCAAACACTTGACACTTACTAGCTGTGTGATCCTGGGCAAGTCACTTAACCCCAATTGCCTAAAAACAAACAAACAAACAAAAAAGATGTGGGAGAGATATATAGATAATATATCCTTAAGGAAATGCTAGTTCAATTTGTTTGAGATTTATTGAGATCTAGAAGTGGTCCTGCTTTGCTCTAATATGCATTTCATCTCTTTACTATGAAATATGTATTCCTGCCTCCTTCATCAAACTATCCCATTCTGAAGCAGTTCTTGCTTGTTATTTTTGTTCCTTTAGTAAATAAAATTTTGAGCTGGAATCATCTAATGAGGATAATTCAGTATAAGTTATGTCTAATATGATAATAGCTTCCACTGGAAGTGCTCGCTATTTTTATTATTAACTTACATGAGTTGTTGAATGAAATCTATTTTAGTATTTTTAAAGCGATGCCTTCTTTAATATGTATTTTTGGAATTCCAATCCGTAAATATTTTTTGTCAGAAACTCCAATTAAACAATTTTAAGGGTTAGTGACTTGAAATTAAAAGAAATAAGCCTTTTCTCCAATATTCCTATCAACATCATCTCCACCTCCCTAATATCAAAGAAAACATCTATGTACCAGACCTTGTGATAGTTGAGGAGGCTGCCATAATAAAAAATGAAACGGTCCTTACCCTCATTATATATATATATATACAAACTGAATATAAATTATATTTTTAGAGGATAAGACATTAGCAGTTGGGTGGATTAGGAAAGTCTCCATGTAGAAAGTGCTGTTTGAGCAGAATTTTAAAGGAAAATAAGGGATTTTGAGAGGTAAGAGTAAAGTGAGAATACATTTTAGGCATGGGGGATAGTTGGTACAAGGCATCTGGACAGGAAATGGAGTTTCTTATGTCAGGAATAGCAAGAGTGTCAGTTTGGCTGGACCAACAACTATGAGAAAGAGGGAGTAATAGATAATAAGGTTGGCAAGTAGATTAGGGCCAGAGTAAAGGACTTTGAAATATAAACAGATGAGCTTATATTTAATCCTAAGGGCAATAGGGAGCCATTGAAGTTTATTAAGTAGTGGACTAATATGATTAGACCTGCACTTTAGGAAAATTGATTTGTCAGCAGCGTGGAGGATGTATTAGAGAGGGGAGAATTGTGAGGCAGAGAGACTAATTAGGAGCCTTTTGCAATTGTCTGTGAGAGAAGATCTAAACTAGGTTGGTTGTGTTGTGAGCAGAGAGAAGGACATTGATACCAAGGAAGTAAAAAAAAAAAAAAAGACTTGGCAACTGACTGGATATGTGAGGTGAGGGAGAGTGAGGAATCAGGAATAATGTCAAGGTTGAAAAACTGAGTGATTGGAAAGGTGGTGGTATCTCAGCTATTTCTGTTGGGAGTAGGGGGAAGGCAAGTTTTAGAGGAAAGAGAATAAAAAAGTTAAGTTATGAACATGTTGAGTTTGAGATGTCCATGAGACATTTAGTCTGAAATGTCCATTACAGAGTTTGAGATACATAGTTGGAGCTCAGAAGAGACTAAGGCTGAATATATGGATCTAGGAGTAATCTTTGTACAGATAATTAAATCTATGAGAGCTGGTGGGCTCATCAAATTAAGAGAGACTAGAAGAGGGCCTGACACAAAGCCTTGGAATTAGAAGGTCCCAGTATGGCAGATAAACCAGCAAAGGATGCTGAGAAGGATTGGTCAGACAGGTAGGAGGAGAATCAGTGCAGAAAGGAAAAGAGTAGGGTCAGCAGTGTCATAAGCTGCTGAGAGGTCTAGAAGCACGAAGATTGAGAAAAAGCCATCATATTTGACAATTAAAAGATCATAACTTTAGAAAGAATGACTTCAATTGAATGATTAGGTTAGAAGCCAGATTGCAAAGGGCTGAGATCTTGAGCATCATCAAGCATTTAAGTGCCTACTATGGGCCCTGTACTAAGCTTTGGGGATACAAAGAAAGGCAAAAAACAATCCCTGCTCTCAAGGAGCTCACAGTCTAATGAGGGAGACAATGTGCAAACAACCACATACCAACCAAATATAAACACAACAGACTGAAGATAATCATAGAGGGAAGGCAGTAGCATTGGGATGGGGGGTGGGGGGCAGAGTAGAGGGAAAGGCTACTTGCAGGAGGGATTTTAGCTGAGACTTGAAGGAAGTCAGGAGCTGGAGATGAGGAATGAAACCATTCTGGGCACGGGGGACAGCCAGCGAAAATACATGGAATTAGGAGATGGATTGTCTTGTTCAGGAAACAGAAAGGAGACCAGTGTCATTGGATTTCAGAATATTGGAGGTGGAGTGGACAGTAAAGTGTAAGAATATTGGAAAGGTGGGAAGAGGCTGGATTATGAACAGCCTTTAATGCCAAATAGGATTTTATATTTGGTCTTCGAAGTGACAGGGAGTCACTAGAGTTTATTGAATAGGAGAGTGACATAGAGGCATATAGGAGAGATGTTGGCAAAGGTAGAATCAGTAGGACTTGGCTACAGATTGGTTATATGAAGGTGAGTGACAGAGTAATGAAATCTGAGGATGATATCTAGGTTTCAAGCCTGGGTGACTGGGAGGCTGGTGGTGCTCTGGACAGTAATAGGGAAGGTAAAAGGGAAGAGTTTGAGGGAAATGGAATGAGTTCAGTTTGGGACATTTTCAGTTTAAAGTATCACCTATGAGACATCCAATTTGAGATGTCCAATAGGCAGTTGAAGATATGAGACTGGAGGTCAGGAGAGAGGGTAGGGCTGGATAAGTCTATCTGAAAAGAGAGGAGATGAAGTGGAACAATGAGTATAAGCAACTTTTCTTTCTGGGAGTTTTGGTGAGAGGTATATAGAACAATATTTTGAACAGATAGTAGAATCTTTTAAGGGTTTTTTGCGGGAATCCAGGAGATTTGGATGTGTTTGTAGGCAGCAGAGAAGAAACCAGTAGATAAAGAGAAATTGAAGTTTATTGGCAAGAGAGGTGGGTTGTGAGTGGAGACAATGTGGGGCTGTCTACTCAGAAGCTTTTCTTAAACTTTTTCCATCCTTTTTCTGGGCAGCAGTACTCCGTTGGCCTGAGGGCATACATTGCTAAAGTGCGAATGCTTTGTGTTCCAAACCGAGGCTGCAGTGAAGCTGCCACTCGGGTGAACACTGCCAGAAACACCTTGGATTCATTACATGTTTGATTTTAAATTTTTGGTTGTTGCAGAGTTTAGAAACCTGAAAAACGCTGGACTGGAGAAGGGAAGAAATGGGATCAAGGGTAAAAGATTGCCGTTGGCTAAGAGGAGGGTCACCTATTTATCAGAGACTGAAATAAAAGAGGGAATGAGGGATGATAGTTAATCAAGGGTTTTTGAGATGTAGAGAGTGGGAGAAATAAGACCTCACAGAGAATGATCTCTGTTTCTTGGTAAAGTATGAGGTAGAGTCCTTTTCTGAGAGGGAGGGGACAGTGGGAGATTTTCAGAGAGATTGGTACGTTTGGAATGGCCTCTGTGCAGAGTGACTTAGAGAATTGGTTAAGGAAGAATAAAAGGATTGTCATTCATTCTAAGGTCAGAGTCCGGTTAAGATTAGATAAACGTAAATGTCTAGAAGACATTTATTGGATCATTGTATGATTTCCTCAAGCTCTGTTCTGCTTCAAGTAAGGAGGAGCTGAAGAGGTATATAATTGAATGTTGAGGTTGGGCATAGGACAGGGACCAAGGGATTCAAGATTATAAGACATTGTAGAGTTGAAGAGGTAAAAAAGTGAGGTCAGAGAAAGGTAGATAAGCTTGGGAAAATACTGAAGAATGGGGGAATTGTAGGTCCCATTGAGGATGAAGAATAGGCTCAGGAGGATTAGGGCACAGGGAGAGATGGGAAGAGAGGAGATTATGAACTGACAAAGGAATTTGAAAGTTTTTGATTTACTTGTGGGTAATGGAGAGAACAAGTGAATGTCCTTTCCTGTGTGTAGCCTAGGTGAAGTGAAGAAGTATTCATGAGACGGTGGAATTGGAAGGTCAGCTTGTTTGAAAGGGGCATCAACGTGACATCAGCAGAGTTGAGGTGAAGAGGAAAACTGAACCAAGCATTGAAGTCCTTGAGGGAGAGAGAATGTCTTGTGAACCAGTAGATACTTGCTACTAACATGTTGATTGGGTGATAAATTTGAATGGCAAACCTCAAGAAGGAGAGGTTCCTTAGTGATGTTGCTACAGGTAGAGTGAAAATGGCACTGGGAAGCAAGGAATATTCCAACTTCCCTTGAAGGATCAGCGTGTCCAATAGCATGAAAGAAAGTATAGCCAGTTCTGAAGACAGCAGCTAATGATGCACTATCATCACCAGCATAGCTGAGTCCCTGGAAGTAGATGCAAGAAGTCTAAAATGAAGGAAAGTTTAACCATGGAAAAAGATTTTCAGAGGGCACAATGGAAGGCACTAGAATGGAACACGTTTAGACTCAGGTTGAGATGGATGTGGATGAAGGAAGGGGAAGTTGGGATTGGACTGAGTTACACTTCGGTTGTCCAGATTTATCATCACAGGGCTTGGGAGAGGAAGAGATGGGGTTAAGTTTGTAAGTCATAGGGTGAAATTCTGGCAGGCCTCCTTGCCCTCGTTGAACTCTGAAAGGGATAGAATGCTCTTTCTATAGGTGGTCTCAGCTCAACATCCCCTAGTAGGGGTTGAAGAACATAATGTCTGCCAAACTTATGTTTAGAGAAACAGGTT